CTCACCCCCCTCCCCCAAGAGCCCACCCCTCCACGGCCCCGAGAGAAATTTTCCAGTCCTGGCCAAGAGTTTCTCTGTGCAACGCACACATACCCACTTTTCGGAGAGATGGGAAGGGGGTGGGGGGAGGGGCAGGGTGTCTAGATGGTGGCGATTAAATTGGGGTGGGAAAGTGGCGCGAGGGAAGGGTTCATTTCCTCTTCACAAACGCATCCAGGTTTCTTGCAACATCCATCCCCACCACACACGCGATGGAAAAGGACCCTGGTGGGGAAAAGCCAGCCAGGAAGACAAGCTATTCCTTTAAGATGCTGCTACAAATGCACACTCACACACCCCTCTCTGGCGACTCCAGTCCTCCGCTAGTAACAGCCGCTACCGAATAACTTTTGCATCCAAGCCCTTGCTGGGCTGCTGTAAGTGGCTCCTGGGCCCGGGAAAGCCTGCATGGTCACCGAAGCCCTTTAAAAATGAAACCAGCCTGGCAAAGCTGCAGCGCCTCTCCCCCAGCTCGCCTCCCGGGCTCTCCCCGTCCGCCTTACCCCGGCTCGGAGCAGCTTCCCGGAGCGGGGACCCGGGAGGCCGAGGACCGCCACCCGCTGGCGCTCCGCCTCCCCCCGCTGGCCGGCGCTGGGTGGGGGCGAGGGCCGGAGGGCTGCAAGCCGGTGGTCCTTCCCCGCGCCGCTCCCGCCGCCGCTGTGGCCGCCGCCGCTGCGGCCGTCAGAGTCGGGCTGGGGAGCCCTCCGGCCGCCGGGGGGGCCGCCCGCAGCCGTCCCGGAGACGCGGGCAGGGGGAGGGGGCCGCCCGCACCGCCCGCATCGCCCGCCCCGGGCGAGCGGGAGATAGGCGCTAACAAGTGCAAACTTTTTGGCCCCCCTGGGCGGCTCGGAGAGGACCCAGGCTCGGGCGCCGGGCAGCCCCCGGCCTGGGTGGGCTTCGCGGCTGCTCGTCGGGGCGCCGGGGCATCCCCCCGCGCGGCGCGGGCCAGATGGCTGGGCGCTTCACTGCCCCCCTGCACTCAGCTCCAAGTTAAAGCCGAGGCCAAATCCTCTTGCCATCACTCACGATCACCATCGGGGCTTTTATCTCTCGGTCTGATCCGGGCTGCGTAACTTCCTCTGTGTGGCTTTAACACACCATCCCACCACGGAGCAACGGTCTTCTTAAAGGTGCAGGAAGGAAATACTGCGAGACTCGGGGGACGCGCCACGGCCCCGGGAGGGGCGCCGCGAGCAGGGGCGTCCTGGCGGGCCCGCGGTCAGGGTGGCCCCAGCAGGCGGCCGCGGGAGCGAGCCTGCTCTGGGGGCTCGCTGCCTAAACATCTCCTCCCCGCCCGGGGGCCGGCGGGTCCCAGCGCGCAGAGCGCATCCTCAGCCAGTTTGGGTCAGGCGCGGCGGGGCCGCAGCTTCCTTTTCCGAAACCCAGGGGCCTGACAGGGTGCCAGCGCCCATGGGCGTGGGGGCTGCCCCATCGGTCCTAGGGAGGGGGCTAAGTGAGTCAGTCCGCCCACCCCAACAGCCAAGGGCTCAAGGCTTCTGCTCTGTCTCCCTCCGTGAAGTGCTGCTACCCAGAAGGCCCCAAGCAGTGGGTAAAGGGGTGGGTGGGTGGATTTGGGGAGATGGGGAGGGGGAGCGATCTGAGCGCACAACCAGAGCCTGAACACCAGCTGACACATCGCCGCCTCCACCCTGATGGGCCCTGCTTTTGACGAAGCCAAGCCAGCTCCGGAGGGAGTGCAGATAGGGGGCAGGAGGGGCCTCACTCCGGGGTAAGCTTGGGAGGAGGGCGTGGGAGGACTCTTGCAGGGGCCAGGGCAGAGGTCACGGAGTTGGCAGCCCTGGGCTCTTCAGCCTCCCGCAGGGTTCCTGCCAGGCTGCCTCTCGGGGCGGTGGCAGAGCTTTCTCCTCTCCCAGGGGGACATGTGGTTCTCAGGGGCTCCTGGCCTCCTCCAGGATGGGTTCTCACTGCAGCACACAAGCAGGCAGCACTGTCATTTGGATGCATCCAGAACAAAGAGCCTGAGGACAGAGACAGAGAGAAAGAGAGGGACTGGTCCAAGGTCACAGAGGTGTCAGGACTAGGAGCAAGAGGTGGCAGCTCAGGGCTCCAGCCTCTGCCATCCCCTCCCTCCGCCTTAACCCTTCCCTGCTCTGGGCTCCCCCAAGCTCGGAGAGGGGGCTGAACTGCTGAATAACATTTAGACTGTTGTCACAGAGCAGGCAGAGGATGCAGAATTAAAGGCTGTGACGTGCTATAATAATAATAATAATAATAATAATAATAAAATACATTTATTGCACACCTGTTTTATGCCAGGCTCTATGCAAACCAGCTTGTGTATTATCCACTGATCTTTCCCAACAGCTCTGTGCCTTAACTCCTATTAGCCAAGTCCCAAGGTACAGATGAAGCTTAGAGATGTTAAGTAACTTGCCCAAGGTCACACAGCTAAGGAAGTCTCTGGCCTGGGGGGCAGGGTTCTCAGGCCCCCAGGTAGTACTCTGCCACTGCCTGACTTGCTGGTTAACTTGGGGCACTGCACAGATTACTTCGGGCCTCAATTTCCCCATCTGTGAGATCTGAATCGTGAGTCTTTCCAAGGAGGGGTCAACACGAGGCTGTCAAGTGCCTCCTCCTGCGCTGGGGCTCCGATCCCACCCACCCGGGTGGGTCCCGCCACACAAAGCTGTCCTAGAGAAGAGATGCACGCCACCCTGGTTACCAGCTCTCAGGTCTCAAAGCGTCCAGCAGGAGGAAGCTCCTCCTCCAAAGAGGACACATCCCAATTTGATTTTTCAGCATTTGCCTGCAGGCAGCAGTGGCAGGCACTGGGTGGGGCTCCCACGCCAGCAGGGTGAGTGATGACCGGGTCAGCCCTCAGCCTGCTGTCCCCCCTGGGAACCGCCCTTCTCCATCATCACCGAGGCTGGGTGCTGCCAGAACAACAGACAAGACGTGGAGAAGGATGCTTCTTATTTGTGGTTCATCTAAATAGAGTGGAAGGTCCTCCTGTTATTCCCTGGGTGGTTTAAGTGACCCATATGAAAGCTGGGTGCCCCTGGAAACAATGTTTACAGCACCTCTCCAGCCCCATTCTGCCCAGGACTTCCTGCCTCTCCAACAGCTGAGGCCAACAGGCTTTTTCGGGGACCCATTCCAGAACCTGTCTTTCCGTCTTCTCATTTCCAGACCCTGGGAATTATGGGATAGTGGAAGAGCACTGACGTGAGAGTCAGGATCACGAAGTTTGTTCGGTTCAGCCCCTCACTAGCTTTGTGGCCTGGGGTCGTCACTTCCCTGCTCTTGGCCTCAGTTGCTCCATCTGCGTAATGAGAGGATTTACCCAGGAAGGTGGTCTCTGCGTGATGATCCTGAGTCGACAGCAGGCCGTTGAAGTCTCCAGGAGCGCACATTTTTTTCTCAAGTGAACAATAAAAGTGCTTATTTTCCAGGCTGGGAAATGAATAAGATCCCAGCCACGTAGGGACCAGGTGGTCGAGGGACGTTCATTTTTAAATTTCATTATGGTACCTTATGACAAACGACCCTTTCCCAGCAATGAAAACAAGCAGAGCACCAGGGGCAGGAAAGTGTTAATGAATCTCCCCCAAAATAACTGTCGTCCCCCTCTCCCAAGCAGCCTAATCACTCTCTTCATTGGTGGGATTTTGGCTCCACTGCACAGTTTTAATTTGAATTGTGTATGTGGAACCTACTATCAAAAAGCCTCTGCAGAACAATGCATTGAGTTCTATTCCATCTGTGTTTTTACAAAAGGAGATCTAGGTATATGTATGTAAAAGGATATATATTGTATACCAAAGTATGAACAGGGGAAATGGGGTGATGACATGTTTTCTTTTACATACTGGGGGTGCCAAAAAATGTATACCCATGACTTGTATTCATCTTTTGTTATTGGTATATATTGAGTATTACAATTTTAATACAGTTTTTTTTTCCTTTCTTTAAATGTGTATACTTTTTTTTTGGCACCCTCTGTGTATACATATATATTATTTCTGCGTTGCTGGACTCCTTTACAATGAGGAAATATACATAACTGGATAAACGAGTAACAGGAAATTATAAAGTCATACACAAAAATGATCTACTAGCTTTGCAATGAGAGGTAACAGATGAGGTCCAGGCCCTCTGGGGGTGTCTGAGAGAAGGCAAATCCTGACGCAGGCAGACAAAAGGACAGACAGACAAAATGAGTTCGCATCACTGATTCAAGTCAAGTGTAAGCTCAAAAACCACCCCCTGCATGTTCTCCTCCTTTGCCTTGTTCATTCTGTTCTCTGTTATGCCAGACGGAGATTTTGATTTGTCCCCTTGACCTTGAGCAGTTCAGATGCAGCTGTAAGTAGGTGGCGAGATCCTAGGAACCATCCCAGGACCATCTAGGGGTTTCCAGGCACCCCTGGGTCCCCTACTTCCACAGCCAAGGCAGGGACACCGGGAAAGAGGCCAAGACCCAAGCCCAGGGCTTTCCCCAAGGTGACATCTCCAGTCAGTGGCAGAAGCTACAAGAAACACCCCAACTCCTCCCTGCCAGTTCTTCACTCTAATCTCCAGGCCATACGCCCATTAATTATTATTACTATATTAATCATACATGTGATTAATTCAGTAATGGTGATTCATAATTGATTGCATTTTATATGGTGCCTTTCATCCACGCATCTCCCAAGATGTGCGCTGCCTACAACAAGAGACATATAAAGCAGGACGTGTTCTTCGCTTGCCTGCATTTTGTTGGATAAACTTCTCTTCGCAGAGGCAGGGGGCTAATGGTTTTCGGGCAGACTGGGCTTGCCAGCCCCAGCTCTGTGCCCATCTCCTTGGGTAGTGCAGCTCAGGCAGCACCTTCCCAGCCAGGGGCTCCTGCTGTGCCCTGCCTTGCCTGGTGGTGGCCATGCCCTGGGAACCCTGCAGACCCCCTTTCCTTGGCAGGAGAGTCTGCCTGGCTGCTGGGCAAGGCCAGCTCGGGCTCTGCCAGGAGGCGGTGACACAGGTGGCACTGGACCAGGGCTCTGGAACTTGACTTTCTGGGTGTGAGTCCTACCTCTTCTGCTAATTGTCTGTCTGATCTTGAGTAAGCTACTGCTCCTTTCGGCCTCAGTTTACCCAAATGAAAAATGGGATTAATACAAGTCGCTGTCTTCCTAGGGTTGTTGTAAAATTTACATGCAATGACGCACATAAAGAACTTCAAACCTGGCACATAGCAAGTGCTAGCCTCTGTGGGAGTCGTAGGCCTGGTTCCAGCAGCAGCAGCTAATAATCTGTAACTATGCTAATCGCTTCCCATGTCTGGGCCTTGATTTTCTCAGCAGTAAAATGGGCTGATTGGTCAACTTCAAGGGTTCCTTCCAGATCTTAAATGAGTGCTTCCTATAATAATGGTTGGGATTTGGGGCTTCAGAGTCAAGCAGCCCTGGGCTCACACCCTTGCTCACCATTTCCTAGTTGTGTGACTTTGGGCGAAGGCCTCACCTTGCCAAGCCTCAGTTGCCACCTCTGGAAAATGGGGATAATTACAGTGTCCAGTGCCTAGGCTTGCTGTAAGAATTTAATGAGCTAATGCTGGAAACCTCTTTGGCTTCTAGAATGTGCTTAACACCAGGTGGCTCTGGTATTTCACACCACGCATGACGCACAGCAATGTACGGATGTTCTCACATTCTGTTTTACCACCATCCTGTGAAAGATGCTATTATCGTCCCCACTGTTCAGACGAGAATACTGAGGTTGAGTCGGTCCTGGGTGATTCAGTTAGGAGTTAAGGCAGGGTCAGGGTTTGAACCCAGTCCTCATGGCTGGGATCACTGATATATATGCTCTCTGAACTAAGCTTATTATTTCAAGGTTGTTTTCTTCCCAACAATCTTGGGAAGGAACTGGCATTGCAGTTCCCACTTGTTTGCAGAAAACCCAGGGACCCCGAGCAGTCTGGTACCTTCTCCAGGGCACGCAGCAGGTAATCTCCTGGGCCATCAGGACGGGCTCTGACGGAGTGGAAGTATCACTGGACTGCCTGCCTTTGCCTGCTGAGTCTCCCCCCACCCCCGACCCTCCAAACCAGCTGGGGACTGTCCTATTCCTGAGCCCCAGGCAGCATGGCAGGATGAGCGCTCAGCCCAGGAAGAGCCCGGCTCCTCTTGACAAAGTCATTCTGCTCCTTTGAGGGGGTGGCTGCTGCCAGGAAACCCCCCTCCCCAGTTCCCAGGGACCAGCAGACAGTTGGGGTTTTAGCCCAGTGGGTGCCCAGAGGGCCTTCAGCAGACAGCTGGTCTCTGATTCAAAGGCCCCACAGGCAAAACCAACTGCTGCTCACGCGCGGGGATTCACAGACTCTGGGGATCCCTCGGGTCTGGAAGCTGGGAATGCGAAGGAGCATTGCCTCCGTCTCTCAGCGGGGGGGTCCTGCCAGCTTAGGTCTCAAGGGACACTTCCCTGCAGGGGACTCTGGTTACCCACTGAGCATCTACTGTGTGGGCCCTGGGGATGCAAACGGTGACAAATCCACTGGGTGCTGCCTTCAGAGTGCGGCAAG